ATGTATGTATGTATGTATGTATGTATGTATGTATGTATGTATGTATGTATGTATGTGTGTATGTCAGTATGTGTGTATGTGTGTGTATGTCAGTATGTATGTATGTGTATATGTATGTGTGTATGTATGTCAGTATGTATGCATGCACGAATGTTTGTATGTTTTGTGTGTATGAACGCATGTGCAATGAAAGTTCAATTGAATATTTTATCAGTTTTAAAAAGGTTTCCTTTAAAACTTTCCCGAGTTGTTCCAAGTGTTTTCAGTTACAGCAACAACTATTACTACTATCCACTACTACTACTACTACAACTACTACTACTACTACTACTACTACTACTACTGCTACTGCTGCTGTTGCTGCTGCTTCTACTACTACTACCACAAACAGCCGCCAGTAAAATATGGTTAGGACGATGACAAAATGCAAATGATCTCAGTGACTTTCAATATGTCAACCTAACGGTACATACACACGCCAACACACACACGCACGCACACAAACACATACATACTCACATACACAAACACACACACACACATGTACATACAAACATGCGAAGAACAAGGGAAGAACAAACAACAATCTGTTGTTGCATTGGTTGACTGAGATTTAATGTTATTACGGTTATGAATGTATGTCTTTGTAGGCTTTCGGTTATTACTGCTATTATTATTGTTATTATTGTTATTAATGTTATTATTATTGTTGTTGTTGCTGTTGTTGTTGATATTATTATTAAATTAAATAAAAATTATATTTCCAAAATTCGGCTTAACAAAGATTGAATGAAGGAACGATATATGTTAAAGATGGAACGAATGAATGAACGAATGAATGAATGAACGAACGAACGAACGAACAAATGAATGAATGAATGGATAACTAAATGAATGACTGAATGGGCAAACTAATAAATAAAAGAATAGATAGAATGCATGCGTAAGACTGTATTTATAAGATCACTAGAAAATAAAATTTACTGTGCTTCTCTTTATTTTCATCTTGTATTTGCAGCAGGGTCCAGCTTTCTCTTTTTTTATTTCATCTTTTTTCTTTCTCTTTCTCTCTCTCTCTCTCTCTCTCTCTCTCTCT